CATCCCCCCAGCTCCCATCCCGGCACCCTCCAGTCTAATGGCCACCTATGCTCCATCCCAGCCCAGACCAGAGGGTCATGGTTATCATTCCTGCCTCCAGCCTTTGCTCAAACTTTTGCCCCCTCTATGTGGCCAGCTCAGTCTCTGTCCTCCACGGCAGCAGCACAGAGCCCTCGTGTAGCCTGGGGTAGCCTGAGGACTCACAGCTGCCACTGGAATAGCCAGTCTCCAAGCTGGCCCCCAGCGATCCCACCCCCCGGCATTCACACCCTGGGACAGAGTGTGGGCTCAACTTAGTGACTTGCATCTAACCACTAGAATGAGGCCAGAACTGATGGCGTGTGACTCAGAGACTAGGTCCTAAAGGCAGGGTGGCCTCTCTCACTTGGGGAGAAACCATGCTATTGGCAGCTCTGAGGAGAGGCCCACACAGCAAGGAACAGCAGTCACATGCGTGAGCCTGGGAGTGGGTCCTCCAGCCCCACACAAGTCTTCAGAGACCACAGCCCTGGCCACAACCTGGCTGCCCCCTTATAAGAAACCCTAAGGAGAGCCCCCGGCTAAGCCGCTCAGATTCCTGACCATCAGAAACCATGATGCAATAAACATCTGTTGTTGAAATCTGCTACATTTTGTGATTGGATCTACAGCAATAGGTCATTGATTTAACCACCTTCAAAGACAGAGCCTGGGTCTTCTGCGCCTCATCCCTGCCCCAGGTCTGGTGTAGGCTGGATTGAGAGGAAGCACATATGTGGGAATTCATTTATTCAACCAATTCCCATTCACCGAGGATGTTGCGTGGCACCAGTCCTGTCCTCGGAGGCTGGGTGTGTTGGTCGGACTGAAGGCAACAAGGATGTGATCTTGGCCCTCAGGGGGTTCCCTCAGGGGGAGACAGAGAAGTCCACTTGCCCACTAAACAATCAGGACCCTCTCACCCCTAAAGACAGCTCGAAAGAAGGGTACTAACTCTGCTTCAGGGCATAGGGCACAGGTTGCGGGTGCGTGGGGTGAGGTTTGACAAAGGAGGTGGCCTTTGGGGGTGAGTGATATTGACCAGGTCAAGGAGAAAGCGTGTTTCTGGAGAAAGGAAACAGCACACCCCAAGACACAGCAAGCTCAAGAGCAGTGAGCATTTAGAGAGCAGTGAAGGGGATGGGGTGATGGGTAGCAGGGGAGAGGGTGCAGAGGTGAGAATGGAGAGTTTGAGGGCAGATGATACAGGGCCTTGAATGCCAACCTGAGGAGGAGTTTAGGCATTGGAGACCATTTGGGGAGTTCTGTTTTATTTGAGAGTATGTGGTGCTATTTGTGGGTGGGTGGGGCAGTGAATTGCGGCAGGGGCGTGGGTGCATAGTATTTACGCAGGCATTAACAAACCCCCTTCCCGGGTGCTAAGGATGGGAGAGTCTGGGGAGCCTAGGGGAAACCCCTCTCAACCAGAGGCATTAGGGAGGTCTTCTTTGAATAGATGAAGTCAGTATTGAGGGCTAAGTAGGAATTACCAGACAAGTAGGAGGACATGGGTGGAGGAGGGGTCATTCCATGGCATCCGACAGCATGGGCAAAACTCAGAGGTGAGAGAGGGTAGCTGGCACAAGGAGCTGCAAAGCGTTCCATGTAACAGGAGCATGGGGAGGAGAGCCTTGAGGACAGACAGAACCAGGCCAGAGGGTACAGCCTGGCGAACTGGCCTTGGGCTTGCGGTAGCCATGTTCCGTCTTCCACTGGCTCCCCCCACCCCCACCAGGTCCACTTTCTGCCTATTAGCCCTGATCTCTTTCCCTGGAGACCTGGTTGCATGGACTCCATGGGCCCTCCTTTCCTCCAGCTTCCAGGTGGGCTCAGGCAACAGGGAAGGAGGCTGCACGGAGGAAGGACAGTGGGTGGAAATGCTCACTCAGGCTCCTTCCTCTCAGGGTCCCCGGCCCTGTGCAGGACTCTCATCTAACCAATGGTTCAGGGAACCATTGTCCTTCCAGGCCACATGGTGGGAAGCATGCTTACACATCAGAAGACGGTTCCTTGATTAAACCCTCCTCCCATGACCCTCTGGTTTCTGCTGGGGTCCAGACTGGTACAAACCCCAGCCTACGGCCAATGGAGAGCCATGGGAGGATTCTGAGTAGGGAGGGAAGGGGGAGGACAAGAAGGGTGGGGAGGACAAGAGGGAGCTGGGCAGAGGCTAAGCTAGGGCCCTCGGCCTGCACCATGACTTTATCAGGGTCATACGGAATTCCAGGGTTTATGTGTGTGTGCGCACACAGCGCGCGGGGGGTGGGGGGTGCTGCTGCAGGCTTTCTGTTTTTGATTTTTGGTAGACTGTTTGCAAAGACAATAGTAAGAATCCCTCCATGTGCCCACACTTTTTTTTTTTTTCCAGTCTGAGTCTCACTCCATTGCCCAGGCTGGAGTGCAGTGGCATGATCACGGCTCACCGCAGCCTCAACTTCCTGGGCTCAGGTGATCCTCCTGCCTCAGCCTCTTGAGTAACTGAGACTACAGGCATGTACCACCATGCCCAGCTAATTTTTTTTACATTTTCTTTGTATAGACAAGTTTTTACTATGTTTCCCAGGCTGGTCTTGAACTCTTGCCTCCTGCCTCTGCCTCCCAATGAGCTGGGATTACAGGTGTGAGCCACTGCGCCCCATCTCACACCTGTTTGCCATATGACACTGCTGCTTTTCCTGTCCAGAGTTAAATCCTACTCCTCATTCCTTGTGACTCACTTTGGCCAATAGAACACAGTGGACACTGCACTCAGTAGGTTGTGTACCTTGGACTTGAGTCCTTGCAACCATGGCTCTCATTTTCTGGGGTCAGCCACCCACCAAATGCTAAAAGACAAGTTGGTATCGAGAGGGGCCCACTGTCCATGCAATGAGCGGCTGGGCCTTCCCAGGTGACCCACCGCAAGGATCCCAGAAAAGCCACCCAGTGACCCACAGAACTGTGAGGAACCACAAACCCTCACTGTCTCCAGCCATCAGGGCTTGAAGCGGTTTGTTAAGCAGCAGTAGGTCACTACTGTGGCCCACTATTCATCTCCTTTGTGCGTCTTGCCCTCCCTTCAAGGCCCTGCCCATGTATCGCTTCCTCCAAGTTTTCTGTCATCCCTTCTGGGAACTCTCCTGCTCCTTATTCCCACCCCTCTGGTGGCCCTTAGACCACGCTGCCAGATATGATAATAGCAGGCACTTCACAAGACACTGGGCATGTGTGTCATCTGACTTCTGATTTACATGAACTGCACATCAGCCCATAAAGAATGTGTAATGCGAGTGGATTGCCTGAGCCTACAGGTTCGAGACCAGCCTAGGCAACTTGATGAGATCTCATCTCTACAATAAATCAAAAAAATTAGCCGGGAATGGTAGCGTGCGCCTGTAGTTCCAGCTACTTGGAAGGCTGTGGCAGAAGGATCGATGAAGTCCATCGGGTCACCGCTGGGTTGGCAGTGAGTGTCCCACTGCACTTCAGCCTGAGCAACCGAGTGAGACTCCAACTCAAAAAAAAAAAAAAAAAAAAAAAAAAAAAAAAAGTGGATTGACTTATCACTTCAGGCACAGGACTGGAGGTGGACATGACATCCTTATTTCTCACATAACAAAATCAAGGTCTGCAGGTGATGTGACTTGCCCAGGTTCGCTGAAAGAGGTGGAGCCAGATTAGAATCCCAATGGGCACTTCTCCAGACTCATGCTATAGTGATCGGTGTGATGTACTCCTGGCAGGGAAGGGTCTGCCTCCCCGCTAGAGAGTGAGAGGTCACAAGCCCCGGTCCTCCCCAGTCGTCCCTGTTCCCTCACTGCTGATGCATGTCCCCAGCCCAGGAATCCAGAATTCCTCTGGTCAGGGCGCCTGTCCCCATCTTACCCCCCCTGCAGACATACATCTCACATCTGGTAGTCATTCTCTGCGCTGCTGGTCTACCCTGAGATTTAGCATATCTGTTCCTTCTTTCCCAACAGAATGGGGCCAGAGGTGGTAAGCTTAGGGTCGACGGGTCAGGAAGGAAGAGATCAACACGGCCTTCTCTGGTCCAGTCTGATCCGACTTCTGGAAAGGAGGGCCAAGCTGGGGGTCAAAGGTGAGGCTCTAACTCCCTCGATTGGGAGTAGGGAGAAAGAGAAGAACACTAAGACAGATTTCTTTCCTTTATTGAACTTAGGCTTATGAAGTTCCATGCCCACCCCCCATCCTGAGCCAAGGTCAGGGGCTAAAGTTACAAAGGGTGAGTAAGTGGCGCCCTCATGGAACTCTCCACCTAGGTAGTGTGAGAGTTAGACTCAGAAGTCAACTTAGGGAAACTGAGGCTCAGAGGGAGGGGTGAGCAACCTGCTCACAGTCATACTGCCAGTCAGTAACAGAGAGCAGCTCTATGTCTCTGCCTTCTGGGCTCTGCAGGTGATGTGACTTGCCCAGGGGGCCACTCGATCGTGGGAGGGCCCAGGAACTCCAAGGCACCTAGGGCAAGTACGGGGGCTTACATCCTCCTCTCCTCTCCAGCACGGTGAGAGAGAGACTGGGACATGCGGGGAGCGGGATGAGGAGGCTTGTAGGAGAAGGGGCTGGAGCTGGTGACTTCTTTGTGCAGTCACTCAAGGTTAGAGGAAGATAACCTTGCTGCCGGCTTTCCCCTACATTTCCCCTTCCAATGTTTGAGTGACATTACAACAGAGGACACAGACCCCAGACACCAGCCCCTGCAGCCCTCTCTCATTTTACCGACAAGCAGAGGCCAAGGAGCGGGGATTGCCGAGGTCGCACAGCAGGAGTGCCAATCACAGTGCCAGAGTGGGTGGAGTCTCCTCTTCTGGGCTGCCAGCCCTTTCTTGTGGCCGGACACAGGCTGGATCTGCAGAAGTCAGGAAGGCTCTGAATGTCCCTTCAACAGACGCCTCCGGGAAGCCTTCGCAGAGCACAGCGCCTCCTGCTGGGCTCCCTGAGCCAGCCCTGCCCTTCGGGGCGGCCCCTCCTCTGGCTGGAGGTGCTCAGCAGAACTCCAAGTGCTGGTCAGCCGGGATGTTGAACTTGAGCTTGTGGGCCTCGAAGAGGTTGCACAACTCCTTGATGTAGCGTTGGTGCAGCTTGTTCACCTCCTCCTCCGAGGGATGCAGCGTCTTCTGCACTTCAATGGGCTTTCCCACTGCAAGGCACAGAGATAGATAGTGGCCCAGGCTGGGGACCACTTGGGTCACAGGACCCTTGGGGCAGGTGCCCACCTCCACGGTCATCCCTGCAGGGAAGTACTCGCTCTGCCATCCCTTCCAACTTGAATCTAAGGTAACTCTAATTTCAGGTAACAGTTTCTAAGACACTAGGGCAGCTCTGAGATTCTGGGTTTTTTTTTGTTTTTTGTTTTTTTTGAGTAGGAGTCTCACTCTGTCGTGTAGGCTAGAGAGCAGTGGCATGTTCATGGCCACCCCAGTGTTGATCTACTGGGCTCAGGTGATCCTTCTGCCTCAGTCTTCCAAATAGCTGGAACCACAGGTGTGCACCACCATGCCTGGTTACTTTTTTTTAGTTTATTGTAGAGACAATGTCTTGTCAAGTTGCCCAGGCTGGACTCAAACCCCAGGACTCAGGCAGTCCTCTCGCCTCAGCCTCCTAAAGTGCTGGGATTACAGGTTTGAGCCACCACGCCCAACGAGATTCTAGTTTAATAACAGCCAGATTTCTGTGTGTCCTGCATTATGCTGGGTGCTTTACATGCGTCATTTCCTTAAATTCTATGGGGAGCCGGGCTCAGTGGCTCAACCTGTAATCCTGCGCCTTTGGGAAGCTGAGGTGAGTGGATTGCCTGAGCCCGGGC